ACACTGCTCTCTAATAGGTCATTCCCCTTTAGTTTCTGATCACAGAATCACAGAATATGAGGAGTTGGAAGGGACCTGGAAAGCTCATCCAGTCCAACTCTTGCCAGAGCAGGATCACCAGAGCAGTCACACAGGAACACGTAAGGTGTTTGGGTGTCTCCAGAGAAGGAGACTCCACAACCTCTCTGGGCAGCCTGGGCCATGCTCTGGCACCCTTACAGTAAAGAAGTTTTTCCTCAGATCTGAGATTGATCTGAGATTGCTTTGCTGTAGGTTTTGATTGTGTCACTGAACCCTCAGGACTGGGCAGCTGATAACTCCTGTCTCTATTGCAGAACTATGCATTTTCAGAATTGGCTCAAGATTTTTTCTGAAAGGTCCTTTTGAATACACTGTATATGTATTTTTGCCTTATGTTGCTTTTATGCTTTGCCTCCAGAGTATCAACACTTTTCTTTTTCCCTTTCATAGGGTACAATGTTACAAGCCATTGAGAGATACATGAAGCAAGCCATTGTGGACAAAGTCCCCAGTGTGTCCAGTTCTGCACTGGTGTCTTCCTTAGTAAGTAAAGCAGTAGATGATTGTAAATCTGTGCATTGTGTTGTGACTAGGAAGGCTCCCCTTCTGTATAAGGAGCTTTGCATGCCCTTCATTTTGTTATTTCCTCATCTTTTCCTTTGATGTTACTTTTCTTCATGTCCCCACTGGAAAATAAAAAATAATAGCAGTGGAGTTTCCTTTGTCTCAAGCAGACGCCGTCTTAAACATCTTCCTTAGCATTCTCTTGCTTTAATTGTAATAACTTCAAATGCAAAGTGCTCAGTCATGCAGTAGAACATTAATTTCTCAGGAGGGATCTTGTCTGTTTGGAAAAGTCAAGCACACTGATGACCATGAAAATGCTTATCAGATTGGTGAGAGTAAGAAGAAACAACCTGCTCTGTGCCTATGACTGTGAAAGCCTATATGAGTTCCGCAGCAGGAACTAAAAGCAGACTGCTTTGTGCTCTGCAAAATAGAAATTCATGAAATTGCTGCTCTGATAAGACTGCAATTCAAGATTAATATATGGTAGGAGGACAAGGTGAAGAAGTTCACTGTTTTTCTCTGCCTTGTTTAGGAGAAAAGCTCTTGTTAGGTTTATATTTTTCTTAGAGAGGAGAATACAAGTGAAACCACGGTAGTCTGAGACTGACATGTAAGAAGAACAGTAGTTTATACGTGCATAGGATAACAAGACTGGCTGTATTGGTAAATGAGAAGGCAAGGCAGGAGGTAAGAGGTCCAACTGATGAGTAGAGCCTGTGTTAGGACCTTGAGGATGCAAAAAAGCTGTATGAATACTGACAACTGAGGTCTTCCTGTTGGGCCAACCATAGGCAGGTGAATTGTCCTGGTATTGTCTTCTGTTCCCTTTGATCATAAACAAAACCAGTCTTGAGTTACTTTTTCTCATTATTGAAACGAGTGTATCCATACAGACTTAAGTATTTGGGAGTTACTCTTTGTGTAGCAAAGCCTTAGATTGTCTCAAAGTCTTTAAACTTAAAAGCTAAAATCAAAGCTCGTGGTACTTCATTGTGCTTTTTATGTTAGCTTGTCTTCAGTCTCAGTTTGTGGCTTCTTCCAGCACATGATGAAGATCAGCTACGACGTCGTCAAACGGTGGATCAACGAAGCTCAAGAAGCTGCTTCCAGTGACAACATCATGGTGCAGGTATCACAGAATCACAGAATCTCAGGAGTTGGAAGGGACCTTGAAAGCTCATCCAGTCCAACCCCTGCCAGAGCAGGATCACCCAGACCAGGTCACACAGGAACGTGTCCAGGTTGGCCTTGAATGTCTCCAGAGAAGGAGACTCCACAACCTCCCTGGGCAGCCTGGGCCAGTGCTCTGTAACCCTCACAGTAAAGAAGTTTTTCCTCATGTTCGCATGGAACCTCCTGTGCTCCAGCTTGCACCCATTGCCCCTTGTCCTGTCATTGGCCATCCCAGAGCAGAGCCTGGCTCCTTCCTCCTGACACTCGCCCTTTACAAATTGATCCCCATGAATGAGGGCACCCCTCAGTCTCCTCTGCTCCAAGCTCAAGAGCCCCAGCTCCCTCAGCTGCTCCTCGTAAGGGAGATGCTCCACTCCCTCAATCATCCTTGTGGCCCTGCTGGACTCTCAAGCAACTCTCTGTCCTTCTTGACCTGAGGGGCCCAGAATTGAACACAGTATTCCAAATGCAGTATGTTTGAGGGTGTTTGCCACAGGAAGCTCTGAATATAATACAGAGTTTAAATTGTATTCTGCGAGTTCTGAAGATAACCTTAGAAAAAGTAACCGGTTTTCCTTTTTCTTTCTTTTAAAAACAACAGTTGTTGAGGGAAATGACTTTTGAAAAATCACGAGTGTCTCCGTGATCCTAGTGCAAGATTCTTACATAAAAGCTGACTTTTTAGTGCAGTCCTCTGCCCTTTCCCTATTAACCTGCTAATAGCAGAGATGCCACTGACTGGTTCACAGTCGTGAAGAAAGGCTTTGAATCTAATTTTTCAAACAACTTCAGAAATTATCTCGCTGCCTCCCAGGACACCAGCATCTCTTGTCTTGGCCTTCAGAAAATTTGCCAGTTGCTACAGGACCACAGAGATTATCAGTAAGATATCCATATTAGCAAAATCTCTGCACAAATTTTCCAAACAGCTGCGGAATTGAAAGTATTTTGTATGTTCAGTCAGTGTTACAGGCTAATAACCACAATCAAGTCTGTAAAACCACCTTTGTTTCTGTCCAGTTAGCAGCTTTGTTAAGCCTTACTGTGAATCAGTCTTATGGCAAGAAAAAACCCCCAAACGACTTGCAAGCAACTAGAAAGGTTCCTTTGTACTTGCACCACAAATGCCTCAAGGGTTTTTGTAAGATCAGCTGCCATTTAAAGGCCTTGGGATAACCTGAATATTGAGAGTACTAGAAATGCAAGTGTTACTGTGGAGTATAATTGAGTAAGCTGGAGCCTTTGAAGTTCTGACATTTAATGAGGAAAAAAGGGAGTAAATTAACTTTATGGCTCTTTTGATCATCGGATATATGTTGAGGCTGTCTTTTGATGGACAGGAAGGGGAAGGAAACAGTGCAGATCTTTGTAGCTTGTCAGGAAACTCAAATCATTTGAGGTTCGAAGGTATTTCTGCTAGGAAACGGCAATTATTAACTCCTGTGTGTGTGTGTCTTACAATTTGGCTTTTCCAACTACAGTGTGTGTTCAATACCTGCACACCTCTGTTTCTCATTTCCTAGTATCATGCTTTGGGGCTGCTGTATCACCTTAGAAAAAACGACCGCCTCGCGGTTTCCAAGATGCTGAATAAGTTCACGAAATCTGGACTGAAATCCCAGTTTGCCTACTGCATGCTGATCCGAATTGCAAGCAAACTCTTGAAGGAGTCTGAAGAGGGGTGAGTAAGAGGCAGCATGTGAATGGCAAAAAAATAATTACAGTTTGAAATTTGCTTTTCTTTTGGAAATCAATGCACAGAGAAAACTGTAGTGTTACACATAAACGCAGGTAGAAGCAGAACGTTAGACCAAACTGAGTGGTGTATGTGTGGCAGTTGTGTGGTGGGATTTGGGCTTTTGTTTCGGCATCACACCACCAGAACTTAGCTGAGAGCAGGACTAAAACTGCAGAATGATCTCTAGAGAGGTTTTGTACTTCACGGAATCACAGAATCTCAGGAGTTGGAAGGGACCTCAAAAGCTCCCCCAGTCCAACCCCTCTGCCAGAGCAGGATCACCCAGACCAGGTCACACAGGAACACATCCAGGTTGGCCTTGAATATCTCCAGAGAAGGAGACTCCACAACCTCTCTGGGCAGCCTGGGCCATGCTCTGGCACCCTCACACTGACAAAGTTTGGCCTCATCTTCAGCTTGAACCTCCTCTGCTCCAGCTTGGGACCATTGCCCCTTGTCCTGGCATTGGACATCCCAGAGCAGAGCCTGGCTCCTTCCTCCTGACACTCGCCCTTTCCAAATGGATCCCCAGGAATGAGGGCACCCCTCAGGCTCCTCTGCTCCAAGCTCAAGAGACTCAGCTCCCTCAGCCGCTCCTCATAAGGGAGATGCTCCACTCCCTCCATCATCCTTGTGGCCCTGCTGGACTCTTTCAAGCAACTCCCTGTCCTTCTTGACCTGAGGGGCCCAGAATTGAACACAATATTCCAGATGCGGTCTCACCAGGGCAGAGTAGAGGGGCAGGAGAACCTCTCTGACCTACTCACCACCCCCCTTCTGATACACCCCAGGATGGCGTTGGCCTTCTTGGCTCAAGGGCACATTGCTGGCTCATGGGCATCCTGCTGTTCACCAACACCCCCAGGTTCTTTTCTGCGTTTTACTTTGTCTAGTCAGATGCATTTCAGAGACAAAAAGGATCTCTCTTACTCTGATCTTGCATGAGCAGAGGTCCTGAGAAATTCAGTTCCGGATGAAATTCTTTTATCAGTGGAAATTTTTGTTAATGGTATTTGATACGTGCTTAATAACAAAGTGTATTTGATACGTGCTTAATAACAAAGTATTTTTTTCTAGAGTGCAGCTTGAAGAAGATAATCTAAAGATTAATAGTATAATAGTAAATAGAAAGTTTAGAGTTCAAGGATGAACTGAGCAGTGTGGCATACTTCTTATACTAAGAAGCAGGAGCTAGCACACTAACTGTTTTCTAGAGTGCAGCTTGAAGAAGATAATCTAAAGATTAATAGTATAATAGTAAATAGAAAGTTTAGAGATCAAGTATGAACTGAGCAGCGTGGCAGTATAAGAAGCAGGAGCCAGCTCACTAACTGTGCTTTCTGTCAGGTTCTCAGAAACTCAGTGTTAGTGGTTTGTACATAATTCAGCATCCCACTGTGAAATGTCTTCTGTTTGCAGCCACGAAAGTCCACTGTTTGACTTCATCGAGAGCTGCCTGCGGAATAAGCATGAAATGGTTATTTACGAAGCTGCTTCTGCAATCATCCATCTCCCAAACTGCACGGCCAGGGAGCTGGCACCGGCTGTTTCAGGTTGGTCATAGAGTCCTTTGTACCACTGACACAGCTGAAAGAAAGGGTGGTGAAGCACGCCAGAAACATAAATAGTGAGCTCAAAACCTGGATTTTCTGATTTTTCCCAAGCTAGAGCGCTTTTGGATGAGAAGCAGCTTGATCCCTTTTTCCCATTTCATCCAGAGCTTTAGAGAATGGGCACTGAAGGTGGCCCAGAGCAATGTTTGCCATTTTCCAGCTGCAGGAAGTTGGAGGGAAGGTAGAGGAGAACTTGATAGCACAGATGTACCACAGACCACTACACAGACTACCTATTATTGATAAAGATGAAAACCAGGAGGTTCATTTTAACTGTGAAGCTAGTGCTAAATTATGGATAGAGCTGCATGAACATATAGCAGTGCGTACTTGAATGTGGGTACATTAGACTTTCCTCTCTTCCTGTTCTTTGGAAGAGAACGCATCTGGTTTTCTTATGTGGTGAATTCAGAATGAATTATTTACACCTCTCGATATCAAAGTGCTGACGTAAGGCAGTTTTCTCATCTGGAATGGTTGTGAGGGCTCCCCTTTTCTGCTCCCCAGACATTACAGGTGCCTTAGAATTGCAGTACAGGGAGCCAATTTTTGTTAAACAGTCTCTGCTGTGTAACACTTTGTTATGAGTTACTCCTTTTGATTATTCTTTCAATTTATTTTCAGTGCTGCAGCTTTTCTGTAGTTCTCCCAAACCTGTCTTGAGATATGCAGCTGTACGGACCCTTAATAAAGTGAGTGCTTCCAAAACCTAAACAACCACAAATCTCTGAGCATCAGAGGAAGCCAGACTTCAGTGCCTAATGGTGTGTTATCTAAAGGAGAGCAACTGCTCTTGTGATTACTGCATTTCAAAATACTCCATGGCTTTTCCATGTCAGATCTCCTGGTGTGACAGAAATCTTTTCTGTGCTTGAGCTGTGTTTACTCATCTGAACCACAGGACTATAACAAGCTGTAGTTCAGTAGCTTGTGAGCTCTCAGCTGTAAGGAAGCAGAGTCTCGGATATTTAGTACTGCAAAAAGTGATGTGAAGGAAGTAACGTTCAGATTTCAGAGCTGCACATTACTGCAGGAGCAGTTTGTGACTGTCAGACCCGTGACCTGTGACTTAGAGTTCATTTAAAATACTGAAACAAAAGAACCTGAGCTTTGATTGCATCCTGCCAGCAGCCATATGATGTAGGTTTAGTTGCGGTCCATGTGGAACAGAGCAGTGCTTGAATAAAATATGGGCTTTAATCCTTACCCCATCAAACGCTTCGAGTTGTAGGATGTTACTGCTCCTGTATAATTTGGAATTTCATTCTTTACAGGTGGCCATGAAGCATCCGTCTGCAGTCACTGCCTGCAACCTGGACCTGGAAAACCTCATCACTGACTCCAACCGCAGCATCGCTACCCTCGCCATCACCACCCTGCTGAAGACAGGCAGTGAGAGCAGTGTAGACAGGCTCATGAAACAGATCTCTTCCTTCGTGTCAGAAATATCAGATGAGTTTAAGGTGTGGCATTGGAGGCCTCTGCTCTTTCCAGCTGCAGGTTTTTCTCCCATTCTTGTTTTTATGACGCTCCCATTTGTTAATCGGTGACTTGGTCTGATAGAGCAAAGCCAGCTTGAAATTCAGGAGGTGTAGTCCTCTGCTTTCCATCTTAAATATGCTGTATGATTTCCTCCCATCACTCCAAAAAAGGATAAATGTCATTCGGATTCCTGGCTTCTGTGCAGTATCCTGCAAATTCTCCAACCTTCTGATTGCCTCTTTGGAGACAAAGAGGGATTTTAACTGTTGTGATTGAATCTGTATCATATCAGTCTGATATGTAGTTAGGAAATAGTATGAACAGTGAATTTCTACTTAATTTGTCAAGTTTAGGCACTATGAACTAGGGTCACAACTCAGTTAAGGATGGTAGCTCACTTGTACCTGTCCCTTTTACACTGTGGACTTGCCTTGAGGAGCATAACCTGTCTCTACAAAGTCATTCTCTGCTAGCGTACAGTGTTCTAAGTTCTGGTTTTTATGATAAAAGTGCCACATCCACACGTTTTTTGAACACCTCCAGGGATGGTGACTCCACCACTTCTCTGGACTGACTGTTCCAATGCTTGACCACTCTTGTGGTAATGAAATTTTTCCTCATATCTAACCTAATCCTCCTCTGGCACAACTTGAAGCCATTTCTTCTTGTCCTATCCCTTGTTATATGGGAGAAGAGACTGACCCCGGCCTTGCTACCCTCTCCTTTCAGGGAGCTGTAGAGACTGATGAGGTCTCCCCTCAACCTCCTCTTCTCCAGACTGAACCCTGCCAGTTCCCTCAGCTGCTCCCCATAATTCTTGTGCTCCACACCCCTCCCCAGCTTTGTTGCCCTTCTCTGGAGCTGCTCCAGCCCCTCACCATCCTTTTTGTAGTCAGGGGCCCAAAACTGAACACAGCAGCATGCTAGCCCAGGGTTGTTGACACGCTCATGCTGAGAGTCCACCACCTTCTTTTATCCTTCTTGTACATGAATTTAATCTCTCAAGGTGACAACTACAGATAGTGAGAAGCATGTATTGTTCACAGGTAAATAAACGCACGTGACTGACGTCCTTCTCTGTTGTTTTGCAGGTAGTGGTGGTACAGGCCATCAGCGCTTTGTGCCAGAAATACCCTCGGAAACACAGCGTCATGATGACCTTCCTCTCCAATATGCTCAGGGATGATGTAGGTTTGAAACTTCCTTTGTTGTAGCTATCGGCAAGCAGCTCTGTGTCCTGCTTTTGCTGGGATAGAATCATAGAATCACTTTTTTGCTTAAGAAAGCTGCGTTTTTTGAGAAGACTGCGGCACTCGAGTCAATGGGAACAAAGTCGAGGAGACTTTTACTTTCAATAAAACAGTTTCAGTTTGTGACCAGCCTTGGCTTTCAGGTTGCCACAGTGATCAAGTTTTGCAGTTTTGAGTTTGTCAGGTGCAGAAGCTGAGAGCAGCAAAAGCCAGGGCAGCCAACCCAAGCTGGCCAACAGAATTCTTCCATACCATAGATGTCGCACTCACTATAAATTGGGGTGTTTCCTGGGGATGGCCCTCTTCCCTTAATGTTTTATATCCCTGGAGGGTTTTGCCCATCGTTCTACTCCCAAAGCCTACACCCCTGCTCGTTGTGACCATCGTGCTCTTGCTGGAGCTGTGGCACTTGCAGTGTTTGCTACTTAGCATTTACTGCTGGGAGCATGCAGCTCGTGACCACTACGTGGGCCAAGTATAACTTTCTGTATTTCATATTAATGTTGGTGTTAATATTAGTTTCTTCTTCTTATTTTATTA